GCGGCGCTTCGGTTTCCCAGCTCACTCGGTCGCAGCAGATAGCACACCAGGACCAACACAAGGCCCCCACTCCCGATTCCGCGATCGAACAGAAGGAAGCACCTGGTCTGGACATCTTCGATTTCAACGAGTCGTGATCGGCCCAGCCACCCTGTCTCTTCGCACCAACTCCGTCTTGCTCACACGGCTTCACTTCACACTGTCCGAGGTCCTTGATGGACCCGTCCACATATCGAGTCCGAGCGGCGTGGTGGTGTGGCATGCAAGCCGGACTCGATCTGCGCGACCCTGTCCGCAGCAAGAACGGCCCAGATTTTACCAGTCATCGGAAACAGGACGACTGTCAAACATCCACACCGGTATCATGGAGTCAGATACACACTGGGAGGCATGGGAGGGATCAGGGACGATCGTCACGCATATCAAGAGCGGACGTGCGCGCGAGGCCAAAATAGCAAAAGCAGTCGCCCACCGTGGGGCTCGAACCCACGACCACAAGATTAAGAGTCTTGCGCTCTACCGACTGAGCTAGACGGGCTTCATACTCGCACACAAACCCAAAACATACAAAATCAAACAAACCGACGCGCTCGCTACCACCCACTCGTCCCAGCGATCGCACACAGCCCACACAGGCCCCACCCCGATCCACGATCGACAGAAGAAGCACTGGTCGGACATCTCGATTCAACGAGTCGTGATCGGCCCAGCCACCCTGTCTCTTCGCACCAACTCCGTCTTGCTCACACGGCTTCACTTCACACTGTCCGAGGTCCTTGATGGACCCGTCCACATATCGAGTCCGAGCGGCGTGGTGGTGTGGCATGCAAGCCGGACTCGATCTGCGCGACCCTGTCCGCAGCAAGAACGGCCAGATATTACCAGTCATCGGAAACAGGACGACTGTCAAACATCCACACCGGTATCATGGAGTCAGATACACACTGGGAGGCGTGGGAGGGATCAGAGACGATCGTCACGCATATCAAGAGCGGACGTGCGCGCGAGGCCAAAATAGCAAAAGCAGTCGCCCACCGTGGGGCTCGAACCCACGACCACAAGATTAAGAGTCTTGCGCTCTACCGACTGAGCTAGACGGGCTTCATACTCGCACACAAACCCAAAACATACAAAATCAAACAAACCGACGCGCTCGCTACCACCCACTCGTCCCAGCGATCGCACACAGCCCACACAGGCCCCACCCCGATCCGCGATCGACAGAAGAAGCACTGGTCGGACATCTCGATTCAACGAGTCGTGATCGGCCCAGCCATCCTGTCTCTTCGCACCAACTCCGTCTTGCTCACACGGCTTCACTTCACGGGGAGCCGTTCTGCGTACTCATCCCAATCCCTTTGATCCAAATCCTGGACATACATCTTGAGTGCTCTCGTGATCGTCTGTACCATGCGCTCGGCCGACCCGTTAGCTTGGGGACGATATGCCATGGTTGCTCGCTGTCGCTGCCCCAGGATCCGGTTGAATGCTCGAAAGAAATCAGACATAAAGCCTGGCTCCTGATCATGTCTAATCATCTCGCTAGCTCCAAATCTTCGGAAAACGCACTCCTCGTACGATTCAGCAATGGTCTGCGCAGTTCTAGACGCACTAGCTTTGGCTACCACGTATCCGGTAAACAGGTCCACCCAAATCAACAATTCTGTGTTTCCTTTGAACGACTTGGGCAACGAGGGGATATGATCCATGGCTATGATTTGGAAAGGCTAAGTCGCTTGGACATTCCCAGGTGACCCCCCTTCGATTGTGGGCCATCCCTTGCCTGTCTTACAATCCACACATTCCCCGACATACCGTTGTACACTCTTGAATAGTCCCCTCCAGTGAAAACATTCCCGGATCCGTTGGTAGGTCCGACCAATACCCTGATGTCCGCCTTCCAAGCTAGCGTGATAGTGGTGTAGGACATCCTGTTGTAAGGTTTCCGGCATCACCATTCTCATCAATCCATCCCGATCCTCGTTGACTCTCTTCGTAGGGGGGCAATAGAAGAGCAAGTCATTCAGATCCACCGCGTAATCCGTAGCGATAATGCTGTACGATCCCCCATCAGATACTTCTTTAGTCCTAGGATCCACGCTTCCTCCGTCTAGTAGGGTCAACGTAACGAGATCCTGATGCTCGGCCTCTCTCTCACTAGTTCAACACCACATTGATTCCGTAAAGCGGCGCTGGCCAACCTATCGGCACTGGCATGCCAATCTCGCGTGACATGCGCCAACTCGAGATTCATGCACCCGCGCAGGTGGATCATCACTTTCGCCCGTAACAGTGTTAGGGCCGGGGCCTTGCAGTCAATCTCACCTCGCACCGGTCTGATCACCAAATTTGAATCCCCACAAATCACCAGCCTTTTCGGATCTTGTCCCTTTAGTAGATTTAAACCCAGCAGTAGCCCGTTATACTCCGCTTCATTGACGGTGAGGCCTTCCGCATAAGTGGATCTGGCCCGTACAACATCCCATCCGGGCAATCTCCACAGTATTGCACTGTATGCTCCTCCTCCGCGTCGTACACGAGCGGATCCATCGAAACTCAGGACGTATAGATCCTCATCCACCTGTACCGTCGGGATCGGGATCTGGATCCGGCGTTTGGGCTCTTTCTTAGGGGCGATCCTAGTCAGCGCCTCATCCATCTTAGCTCGAGGAGTGATGCTCGCGGCCAAGACTCCCAGGATCTCGTCTTCCCCTTTCGAACATTTCACAATCTCCAGCGTCCAAGGTGAGAGTAAAGCTGCCCACTGTCCCAAACGTCCTTGCAATCCGGCCGACTTGAACAGCCAGGCTAGCGTGGAGTGTCGAGTCAGGATCCGGATGGATCTTCCCACTAGCAGGTTATAATTTAGATCCAACACGCGCAGGAGCGGCAAGTATCTCTTTCTCCACCGCTCCGTAGTTCAGTTCATTCGGCTTCAGTGTCCGGCTGACAAAGTCTTCATGTACCGAGCGACCCACTTGTACATGTGGGTCCACCAGAAGGCCCGAAAGACTGACAGTAAGGTCTTCTCGTGACCCAAGTGGCCAATGGAGGGCGCATTGTTCGCCTCCGCGATGATGTCGAGCTTCAGACCCTCGTCGTTGGGTACGACCACCCGTGGAGGTTCACTAAGAGGAGGCCATCCTTCAACTTATATCGGTGGAGCCGAGAACGCTTTCGCGACTGAAGCCAGCAACAAGCTGAAGCACCGCTTCATTGGACCGCTCGCAGTCTTGGATAAGGCATGGTGCGTCGTACACCATCGACCTGCCTAAGTCAATGACGACGCACCCGACGCTTTACGTTGGACGTCTTAAGCGGTAATGTGATCCGCAGGGGGTTGCTGACTCGCAGACCCACCTTGACCCAGCTCCTCGAAGCGAGGGCCGGTCACAGACGTCGACGAGAGCGTCGGAGCAGGCACTCAAGCCTCGGTCGGAACGGCAAGGCTGCGGTCAAGCCCGTACGCCGGAGGGGCTCCGCACGAACGGACCCCGGAGCCATACGCCGAGTACGCTGAGTACGCCGGGTACGCACCATACGCGTACGTCTGGGGGTGTGCCGCAGGCGGCTCCGATTGTGGCAACAAAGCCTCGATCCGTCGGATCATGCGAAAGGCCTCGTCCAATATCGGACGAAGAGGCACGGCGATCCACCCGCAGGTGCAGGCTCGCGACCTCTCGCTCCACCAGGTCCAGGCGACTTG